TGGGTACAGGGTGTCAGGGCTGCGCTGGGCCAAGGACATGGAGAGTGGAGACGGGCGCAGTGGATGGGGAGAGTCTGGGCTGTGGACAGAGCCTTCTCTGGACGGCACATGGTGGAGGATGTTAGGAAGAACGGTAGGTAGAGGGTCCTGGAGCCCAGGAGACGGAGTGGGCAGAAGGGTGGGAGGTATGTTGTGTGACAATGACCAAAGATGTTGGGGATGCTGAACCTTCACCTTAGGGTTTTAGGTATGCAGCACCCCACCCATTCCTGCTGAAGGGACAGGGCTGGGCGGCCACTCAGATGGCCACAGGAAGCCCAGGTCAGCAGCACACGGGACTCTTACTGATCTGAGACCTGGAAGCCCCTCCACAGAGGGGAATGTGTGGAGGCGGTGGGCTCAGACCTCCCTGTGCCCTGTCTGCAGCTCACAGCCCATCCTCGGGCCTGGGCTTCAGATCCAGCCGCCCACATAATGGCCATCTCCAGGTTACTCTGATGGACAGATATGGGCTCATGGTTCAGGGCAGCTTCCAGCCAAATTCTTTAAACTCTGAGAAGACCGTAGAGCTCTCTGTAAAGGCACAGATGGAGCCACAGAAGTCATTGTTGGGGACCCAGCAAATCGGGGCTTGCCCTAGAGGTTCCTGCCTGGGTTCCAGGGCCCCCAGCAGGAGCCACAGCTGCCTTGCCTGCCGAGTGCAGGTGCTGGTCCTGCTCTGGTCACCACAGACACCTTCCCTGGTGAGCCAGCAGAGCTCAGGAGCCCCCAGAGGGCTGCCAGGCGGCTGGGCCTCGGGCACCCTCCCACCTGGGTGCCAGTGCAGACTCCGCAGGTCCCAAAGTTCAGCAGGTGGTGGCCCTGTCCACAGGCTGGCATCCTGTCCAGGCTCTGCTAGGTCGGCTAGTGACCTGGCCTCGCCTTCTTTGTGAACAAGGGGCCATGCCAAGTGGCCTGTGAGTGTCCTGGTGGGGGCCAGGGCCGGGCTCTCTCATCGACCTGTAGCAACGTGATGGAGGGTGAGCCCCACGTGGGGACCTCCATGGGACGAGGCGCTGACCGGCTGAGAAGACTGATGCTCAGGATGTGTGCTTCCTCAGAGTGCGTGAAGGGTCCCAACATCGCAGCCATCGTAGGGGGCACTGTGGCAGGGGTGGTGTTGATCGGCGTCCTCCTGCTGGTCATCTGGAAGGCCCTGACCCACCTGAGTGACCTCCGGGAGTACAGACGCTTTGAGAAGGAGAAGCTCAAGTCCCAGTGGAACAACGTAAGTTGCTGTCCTTGGTGGTCCCCACAGACCCCGGGCCCTGTGACCCCGTGCTTGCTGCAGGCTGTCCGGGCAGGTCTGCACGCACCCTGCCCCAACAGCCTGTCCCCCAGTGATTGCGTGAGCCCAGGCTCTGCCCTGCTCACCCCCCAGTGTTGACCCGGTGCCCGGGGCATCTGCTCTAAGAATCCACGTCCACATTCCTCACCAGGACAACCCCCTCTTCAAGAGCGCCACCACGACAGTCATGAACCCCAAGTTTGCGGAGAGCTAGGAGCCCTTGGGGAAGAGGAGGCTGAAGGACAGAGCAGAGGGGACCCCAGAGCACGTCTCCACCCTGCGGCCTGACTTGGCTTCCCCTGTGGACCAGAAGTCCGCTCTGTTTCCCTCTGCCTTCAAGTGACAGAGGTGGCCAGGGGCTTGCGGACTCCTCTTCAGGGACAGTCTCCCCCCACCTGCTGTCTTCCCAATGCAGCCCGAGAGTGAGGCCTCTTAGGGGGCTGGTGTGGCTCCCCGTGGGGGTGGGCAGATTCCTGGCCTTTCACGTTCAAGGTGTCACAGTCCTGTGTGTGGAAAGAACACACCCCAGGAGGCTGGGCTCTGGTGTCCCTCCTGGCCTGCACAGTCCTGGGCTCTGTGCTGCCTGCTTCCACAGGAGGGATAGACCTGCCCACCCCTTGGGCTGCTCCTGTTCTATTCTTTCTCCCCTGCTGGCCACGCCCTGCAGAAGGTGGCCTGCTCAGGTGAGCCCAGCCTGAGCAGCTGGCTCCCCCTCCCAGCTGCCAGGTCCTGCCTCAGCCTCTCTCTCAGGCTCCAGCATTCCCCAGCCTCTTTCTCTAGCCTCCAGCACTCTTCAGCCTCCAGCACTCCCCAGCCCCTCTCTCTAGCCTCCAGCACTCCCCAGCCTCTCTCTCTAGCCTCCAGCACTCCCCAGCCCCTCTCTCTAGCCTCCAGCACTCCCCAGCCCCTCTCTCTAGCCTCCAGCACTCCCCAGCCCCTCTCTCTAGCCTCCAGCACTCAGCAGTACATTTCTGCTGCTTACATATCACCCTTCTCAGGTATTTTGCGGCTGCTATAGGAACAGACCAAGGCCCTTATTTGTAAAGGCACATTTGACACAATCACCAAACAATAAACTTAACCATATTAGTGGCACCACATTCAGGAATTGGCTTTATTTTACAATACATTTAAAAACAATAGAATGAAGTTGAGCTGTTTTCTGATGAAGCTGCCTGTAGGCCACGCTTGTCCTCTGGTCCCTAAAGGTTGGCAGTTCCACTGTCCCCAGGCTGGCCCGCTGGGGGAGCCATCTCAGGTGTCTGCACACCTCAGGCCCCACTCCCTTCACTGTAGGCGCCAGCCCTTGCAGAGGCCTCCACCCACAGGCAGAGGTGGCGCATCCTACCACCCCCAAGCTCCCCTCCGGCCAAGGTCCCTTTGGGAGGTGCTCCCCCCAGCCCCAGGCCTGCACTGGTATCCTGGAGGGGGCGCACACCTCTCCTAGAGCAGACGGCGGCTGCCCTCCGTGCGGTCCAGCCTCACCCCCGGCTCTGGCCACAGCACTGCCTGGTTCAGCTTGTGGCCAGCTTGTGCCCCCCAGCCCCCCAGCCAGCTCCTGCCTTCTGCTCTAAGGACCGGCTCTGAGGCAGAAGCGAGTCAGGTCTTGTACTGTGCATCTGAACCAGCTTGGGGACAGCTGGTCCCCGCTCCTCTCAGGGGCTGACGACAGGTGGGTCTGGTCTTCCCAGGTCCTAGTCCAGCCCTGCACATGCTGCCGAGTGTCCACCCGCTTCCCGTTTGCCCAGGACCTGTTCCAGGCCAGGACGGCAGCAGCCCTGGTTCCATACCTGGCACCAGCCATCACGGGTGGTCTGAATGGCCCCTCCAGGACCTGTCCGATTGCCCTTGTGACCTGCTTGACCCAGGGCTGACACCAGAAGCTGTCTCTGGCTGACACTGGAAAGGGCAAGTCCCTGGCTTCTCTTGCAGCTCCACGACAGGGTACAAATGATGCTTTTGTCTTATTAAAAAGTCACCATGGGCCCTGAGGGAGGCTGGCTGCTCCCAAGGAATGGTGGACAGGCCCCATGTGGCACGAAGCAGCTCCAGAACCCACCGGGAGTGATCGCAGGGTGCGAGTGCGCCTCCTCCCAGCAAGAGCTGCTGCCCCCTGGGAGCCACCCCACACTCCAGGATGCACACCCTGCGTCCTGGCTTGTCCAGCCAAGGGAACTGGGCTCTGGCTGAGCGTAGCTCCTCCCCCTCCTGGCCTCCCATCACCCCAGAGCCCACGGCCCTGCTGCCCTAAGGCTGCACGTCAGGCCCCACCCACGGCTCCCCTCCAGGTGTCCAAGATCTCAGACCTTCACAGGCTTTTGCCCCCTGGCAGTGCTGATGACCTTGGTGGGTTGTCACGAGCCATCCCTGGGTGTGTGTGTGTGTAGACTATTGCCCACAGTAGCGAAATGAGGGGACAGGCCTGGCAGTGCGAGCTCCCTGTCAGGAGTGATCGCAGGGTGCAGGTGCGCCTCCTCCTCCAGCTCTGCCTAAGATCCCACACAGCACCTGAGATGGGTGGGACTGGCCAAGATGTCAATCCATCTGCTGGCCACAAGACATCATGAAGCAAGACTCCACCCTTGAAACCCTATCCTTGCCTCTGATGTTCCCACCATAAAATAAACCCACCATGGGCTCAAGCCCTCTTTGAAGCGTGGAAGCTGACCCTTGAGGTCAAAGAGCCGTCCCGCCCCTGATTTGAAAGTTATGTCTGTGTTGGGTGATTTCTCGCCACCGCCTTCTAAGCTTAATGTTGCTGCCATCCCTGGCTGCAGTGGAGAGTGGGTGGCCGTGCTAAGGCTCGGGAAGTAGTGAGCATTTTAAATGCAACTTCTCTGGAAGTAATTCTTCAACCAACCAAGGAATGTACTCAAAATAATGAAAAAACCAGCACAGACACTTCACTACCAAATCAAAATGGGGGTGAAAATCCCCAGCAGGTACCCCACCCTGCCCAACTCCAGGTAGGTAAAGGGCACCGCATGGGTAGTCCCCTGGAGATCCACGATGACGGGGCTTTGGCCTTAGCCTAGTGGTGGCGTCTCCATGGCTCTGCAGAGCTGCTACCATCTGTCCCAAGTCGATGTCACTGTGACTACAGCAGTCTAGCCCTTAGCCAGCGTTCCTCTGTAATCCCAGACTGCTCAAGGACCCTTGGGTCTCTCTAGGGCCCCCCAGTTTGTGCTGCCTATGAGCTGGGACTCTTCGACTCCAAGGCTGCATGGGGGGCTCCAGACGTGTTGGGCATCATGCACCGACTCTGGGTGATAAACAGGACCTCGGGCTGTATCCACCCAGCGTTGTTTTCTTCACTTCTGCATTACTGAATTGTTCCAATGAGGGAGAACAGACAATCCCTGGTACCAAAACAAAAAGAAAGGAAAAAATAGGAGAAATAGTAGGTAGAAAGGTCACAAATGGGGAAGGAAGGGTCCTCTGTAGAATCAGGCAAAGGTATGAGGGAATGGGTCTCTGTGGGGACACCAAGCTGGAGTGTCTAGCACTGACCAGGAAGGCACAGCACCAACCAGGAGCATGCAGCTGACTCAAGCCACAAAGGGGACAGCAGGCGTTTGAGGTAACTAGCTTAGGTAGATTCCAAAGGTGTTTCTCTGTTCCTGGGAACACCTCAAGGGGGAGGTGTCAGCTGTTACATCCTCCTGTCAGTGCCTCATGGTGTAGACGCACGCCCATGGCTCAGGAGAAGGCCCATCTCATAGGAGCAGCCCACGGTGTAGGAGCAGACCATGGTGTAGGAGCAGGTCATGGTGTAGGAGCAGCCCATGATGTAGGAGCAGCCCAAGGTGTGGGAGCAAGACATGGTGTAGGAGCAGCACATGGTGTGGGAGAAGCCCATGGTGTAGGAGCAGCCCATGGTGTGGGAGCAGCCCATGGTGTAGGAGCAGTCCATGGTGCAGGAGCAGCCCATGGTATAGGAGCAGGCCATGGTGTAGGAGCAGGATTGGTGTAGGAGCAGGTCATGGTGTGGGAGTAGCCCATGGTGTGGGAGCAGCCCATGGTGTGGGAGTAGCCCATGGTGTAGGAGCAGCCCATGGTGTGGGAGCAGGCCATGGTGTAGGAGCAGCCCATGGTGTAGGAGTAGCCCATGATGTAGGAGCAGCCCATGGTGTGGGAGCAGGCCACGGTGTAGGAGCAGCCCATGGTGTAGGAGTAGCCCATGGTGTGGGAGCAGGCCATGGTGTGGGAGCAGGCCATGGTGTGGGAGCAGCCCATGGTGTGGGAGCAGGCCATGGTGTAGGAGCAGCCCATGGTGTGGGAGCAGGTCATGGTGTAGGAGCAGTCCATGGTGTAGGAGCAGCCCATGGTGTAGGAGCAGCCCATGGTGTAGGAGCAGGCTGATGGTGTAGGAGCAGGCGATGGTGTAGGAGCAGCCCATGGTGTAGGAGCAGGCTGATGGTGTAGGAGTAGCCCATGGTGTAGGAGCAGCCCATGGTGTAGGAGCAGGCTGATGGTGTAGGAGCAGCACATGGTATAGGAGTAGCCCATGGTGTAGGAGCAGGCTGATGGTGTAGGAGCAGCCCATGGTGTAGGAGCAGCCCATGGTGTAGGAGCAGGTCATGGTGTAGGAGCAGCCCATGGTGTAGGAGCAGGCTGATGGTGTAGGAGCAGCACATGGTGCAGGAGTAGCCCATGGTGTAGGAGCAGGCTGATGGTGTAGGAGTAGCCCATGGTGTAGGAGCAGCACATGGTGTAGGAGTAGGCTGATGGTGTAGGAGCAGGCTGATGGTGTAGGAGCAGCACATGGTGCAGGAGCAGCACATGGTGCAGGAGTAGCCCATGGTGTAGGAGCAGGCTGATGGTGTAGGAGTAGCCCATGGTGTAGGAGCAGCACATGGTGTAGGAGCAGGTCATGGTGTAGGAGCAGCACATGGCATAGGAGCAGGCCATGCTGTGGGAGCAGGCCATGGTGTAGTAGCAGGCCCATGGTAAAGGAGTAGCCCATGGTATAGGAGTAGCCCATGGTGTAGGAGCAGGCTGATGGTGTAGGAGCAGCCCATGGTGTAGGAGCAGACCCAATCATGTAGGAGAATTCCCACGGTGTTGGGGATGGCAAATCAAGTCAAGATGGCGCCTGGCAGTTTGCCAGGAGGAGTGGTTTGTGAAGCAACACCACCGAGCCATTTAGATGGTGGGGATTCCTATTTGGCTGCTTGCTGTATCTAGATGATGCTAATTGAGTCAAGCTGTGTGTAATCAGTTAGGTATATATACACCTCTGGTGTCCTGCAATAAAGCGGCTCCTGCTACCTTGGGTGCCCGCTACCTTAAGTTCCCGCTCAGTTTCCCCACAATAAAGCAGTTCCCACTTCAACCTTCAAGTTGCTTGTCACCTCCTGGTTATTTTGCCCAGCTAGACTGCGGCATATGGTGGCCCATACGGGGAGCTCCAGGACGCTTGGGAGTAAGTGACAAGGTAAGGCTGCTTGCCCCTGAGGATAGGGCGAGAGGATGGGTGACCATTTCAAGAAACAGTGTGTTCTTGTTTCATTTTTTTTTTTTTCATTTCATTTTTAAGCTGCCTGTCCCTAGAAATAAATAGGATGGGAGAAAAGCTGATCGGCCCTGAGGAACAGATAGGGCCAGAGAACGGATGCACATTTCAAGAAAATACAAAAGTTGATACAGTGTGTTTTTGTTCCGTTTTGTTTCGGTTTTATTTTGTGTTATCTTAGTGGATTGTTTTATCTTTGTTATGGAAAAATGGGATCAGAAGTTAGTTAAAACCAAACCGAAAGGGTGTTAAGTAAATTGCTAGAGGAAGGAGGCCCCCAGTAAAACCAAGAATAATTAGGGCATACGTTGATACGATACAAAAATGTAGCCCATGGTTCTTTAAGGAGGAGTTGTTAATATCACAATGGGACCATCATGGTGAAGATTTAAAAAAGATAGAAAAGGAAAGCCCAGGAACTCTGCCAGTTGGCACATTACCATTATGGACGTTGGTACGATCCTGTTTGCTTAGTCAAGAAGACATCTTTGATCAAGTAAAAGAGGAAGTCTCTCGAGCTAGTCAGACAGGAGAAGAAAGTTTAGAGGAGGAAGGGCTATCAGGGGAGGAGTTACAACGGGAGGCTGCTACTAACACCTTTCTAACACCAGAGGGTGTAAGTATTCAACCAACAGCTACACCTATAGAGACAACATATGCTGGGTGGCCCCCAACCCCCATAGTTGATAGATGGGATCCTGAGACAGGACCTTGAAGATTAGCATGCCCTGTACTTGAGGATGAGAGAGGGCAGCGATATCACCAGGCTTTGGATTTTAAAACTGTAAAGCAGTTAAAAGAAGCTGTAGCAGCCTATGGTCCTCAAGCCCCTTTTACCATAAGCATGGTTGAGTCCATTGCAAATTATAACTTGACACCAGCAGATTGGGCTAGCATATGCAAGGCTGTGCTAAATGGAGGACAATATCTGTTATAGAAAGTTGCTAATCAAGAATTGTGTATGGAGACTGCCAAGGGAAATGCAGCAGCTGGGTATCCACAGAGAAATCTAGATATGTTGCTAGGAGAAGGACCTTATGAGGATCAGCAGCAACAAACTAGATTTGATCCTGCCATATACTCACAAATCGCTTCAGCTGCAGTTAAGGCATGGAAGACTTTACAAGGACAAGGAGATTTACAAGGTCAATTATCTAAGGTAATACAAGGAGCTAATGAACCTTAAGCTGAGATTGTAGATAGGCTTATACAAACAGCAAGCAGAGTCTTTGGGAATGTAGAACAAGCGATGCCATTAATAAAGCAACTAGCCTACGAACAAGCCAATAGATGGTGTAGGGAGACTATTAGACCTTGTAAATATAAAGACTTAAATGCATACATTAAACTGTGTAGAGATATTGGTGAACCAGTGATGCAGGGGCAAGTCTTGGCAGCTGCAGTAACCGGAGAGTACAACAGGCTTTAGGTGCCAGGCCAAAAACATGTTATAATTGTGGTCAAGCAGGACATTTTCGAAGAAATTGCCCTATAGGAGGAGAGTTTAAAACAAGTTACAAAACTGGGTATGATCAAAAAAGAAAAATACCAGGTGTTTGCCCACAATGTCATAGAGGAAAACACTGGGCTTATGAATGCCGTTCTCAGACTACTGTAGAGGGTACTCCGTTGCCAAAAAACGGATGAGGGGGCCGATGCCCCAGGGCCCACAACCGCAAATATACGGGGCACTGAAGGAACCCAGCAACACCATCAGGGTAGTGCCCAGGACACATTATCCGTTAACTCCTTTATCAGACAAACCAGAGGAAGCGCAGGATTGGACATCTGCGCCTCTGCCAGAGCAGTACTAACTCCAGAGATGGGAGTTCAAATCATTCCCACAGGGGTAAAAGGACCTCTTTCCAAAGGAACAGTAGGCTTATTATTAGGACGCAGTTCTTCTACTCTAAAAGGACTTATGATAAATCCTGGGGTAATTGATTCCAATTATGAAGGTGAGATAAAAATTATAGCTAGTTCTCCAAGGGGTATCTCAGTAATTTCACCAGGAGATAGGATTGCACAGTTATTAATACTCCCTAGCTCACATGACAAATTTGCTAGTCATAATGTAGAAAGAGGTTCCAAAGGATTTGGCTCCACAGGTATAGATTGGGCTATGCTTTCTTTAAATTTAGATTCTCGCCCTACGTTAAACTTAACTATTCAAGGAAAAAATTTCAATGGACTACTAGACACAGGTGCAGATCTTAGCATCGTCTCTCGTCAAGAATGGCCAAAAGATTGGCCTTTACAACAAGCCACTCAAATGCTTCAAGGCCTAGGAGTGGCAACTAATCCCCATAGAAGTGTGATGGTATTAAAATGGAAGGATCCTAAAGAATGTAATGATTGGCTCACAGCGGCCCCAGCAAACTTCCAGCTGCCAGCTGATTGGCTCCTCTGTGGTGATGCTCATTGGGCTGTTTCCCCACCCTTTCAGACCATGGAGCTGCTCATTGGGGGACTCTTTTGGCTCCACCCACGCAACCCAGCCAATCGGCCTCAAGAGCAGGAGGAGTGTGTGGTGGGGGTTGAGAGGCTGTGGGAAGCCGGTGGTGGTAGTTGGGCTCCCAGGGAATTCCTGAAGAGGTCATGTGGTGTTGCCTGTGTGTTCTAAAAATAAAGTTCGTTTCTGCTTCACAAGTGCCTCCTGAATTGTGCCCAGCCAGACTGCAGCAGACAGTGAGGAGCTGAAGCTCCACGCCTCAGTTCTTCTGTCCCAAGGAAAGAATTTAAAGTCAGACACAAAAAGTCAAGTAAGAGGGGGCTGGGGTTGGGGCTCAGTGGCAGAGCACTTGCCTAGTATGTGTGAGGCACTGGGTTCGATTCTCAGCACCCCATAAATAAATGAAATAAAGGTCCATTGACAACAAAAAAATATTAAAGAAAATAAAAGTCAAGCAAGAGTATTTGAGTTAAAGTCAGGCTCAAGCAGGGAAAACACAGGCCATCTCTGAGCTGCTTCCAAATGCGTTACTTGATAAACTGGGGGCCACCTTCTGCAGTCTTCACCATTTGTTCGACTCCTTCTTCACTTCAGGCAGGGGTCCTCTCTGGAACACTCAGGGGGCTTCATCTACAAGCCCTGTATCAAAACCTAGGTCAGTGGGGGTGCTGGGGTCACTGACCTGACAAAATCTACCTCAGTGCACCTGAACAGTCATGAAATGCCCTTCTGAAATACACCAAGGAACCTGTGGCCAAAACTCCTACTTTTACTAGGATCCCAGTAGGCCCTGCCAGGAGCCAGCCCTACCCATCTTTCCTTCCTCTTTTTCTTTTTTTAAGTTAACTATCCCCTATTTTTTATTATTATTTTTTAATTGTAAATGGACACACTTTTTTTTTTTAAATGTCGTGCTGAGGATGGAACCCCAGTGGCTCTCAAGTGCAAGGCAAGTCCTCCACCACTAAGCCACAACCCAGCCCCCACCTTTCCTTCTTGATGCAATTCTTACCTGGCCTAGGGCCTACGCGCAGAAATGAGCAGTGCACCCTCTCTCCAGTGCTAACAGCCCTGGGGAAGTGCAGCCCCCTCCCCAAGGCTAACAGGCGGTGCACACGGGAAGTGCACACCCCCCCTGCTAACAGCCGGGTGGGCGGGGAAAGTGCATCCCCCCTCTCCCAGGTGCTAACAGCCGGTGGGCGGGGAAGTGCCACTCAGAGGTGAGCTGATAGCAGCTCATTTCCTTTCCTTTGATAACCAATCCTTGGCCCTGGCCTCAACTTCAACAAGATGCCTCCCTCTCCTGGGGAAGATGCGGGCGGCTCAGGACGTGACCCAGAGCGTGAGCGAGGGCGGCGGGCAGTGCTGGTCACGGGGCCACCCCACCCCCCAGGGCGCCCCCGCGCCCCTGCAGCGCTGGGAGCTAAGCCTACAGGGTAAGACGACAGCCCGGGGACCCTAGTTAAGAGCACCTTGAGGTGGTGTCTACCGTTCTTAAAGGGCCGTGAACGGACCTTAACGGAATAATGTAACAACGCAAGTAGCAAGTAACGCACAGTAACGTGACGTTCCTACCCTCAGGGCTGCCGCGGGCCCCTCAAGGACGTGGCAGGCTTGAGGCCACCATCTGCAGCCCTTCAAGGCCAGGCCTCGCGCCTTCCAACCCAGGACTCGCAGCCACAGTCTGCTCAATCCGCACGACCCACCGATCCCCAAGGCGAAGGCGCAGGCGCACTGAGCCTCAGGCGCCTCAGTCTGGCGCAGGTCCTCGCCGCGCAGGCGCACTGAGCCGCAGGCGGCCTGGAGGCTGGCCCGAGCCCCGGGCCGCGCACTCCCGGCCCCGCCCCTCCCGCCCACTTCCGGCGCCGCGGCCTTCCGGGCAGAGACCGCAGGGCTGGCGTCGGAGTAGGCTCGCGTCCGAACTGCTGACCGGCCGACCGACCGACCATGGCGCCAGGCGGGACTCGCGGGCCGACGCCGCGCTGGGCACTGCCCCTCGCCGGCGCCGCGCTGGTCCTGCTGCTCATCCCGGCGGCCGCCGCACAGGAGCCGCTCGGAGCCGGTGAGACCTGGGGTCGGGCGGGGGGTCGCGGGCGGGGCGCCGCTCTGCGCGGCCGGGCCCAAGCGGCTCTCGGTGGGGCCGCAGCGGCTGTGGCGCTCGGGTTCACCCCGCCCCCGGGGGTCGCGGACAGCGGCGGACGCTGGCCGGCCCTTACTCCCCAAAGGCGCGGAGGAGGGGCTTGGTCGGCTCCGGGCCCGTGGCCTCTGCCTGGAAGTTGGCGGTGCGGGGTCTTCGTGCGGTAGACGTGCGGTGGGCACTCTGCGTTCGTGGGTCCCACCCGCGCCAGCTGCGGGGCGCCAGCTGCGGGGCCCCAGTGGTGACCCACAGAGTTCCTCCAGACACCGGCCAAGAAACAGGCGGGCGCGGGGTGCAGGGGTTGTGGAGGCGGAAAGTGCGCACTGGCTCGCAGAACCCAGCAGCATTTCTAGAGGGTGGCTTCCTGGAGGGCAGGGCCGAGCAGAGCTTGGCCTCAGGGCCGTGCAGGCTCCCTCCAGGCTCTAAGCTGGAGGGTCTCGTTGGACCTGTTTTAGAAATGGTGCTCACTTGTGTATGAGTAAGGAAGCCTCCGTGTCACCTTCGCCTGATTCCTGACTTTTGCAATTAGGGTTGACCTGGCCCCGTTGGAGGGGCTATTGTTTTTTTCAACTCGTGTTAGATCAGCCTCTGTCAGTTCTCTTGACTCTAAAGCACCTTTTCTCTCTGTGACCTTTTTGAGTGTTATCCATTGCGTAGTGTTTGTTTCTAATGCATTTCTAATGCGTTAGTGACTTCAGTTAGGTGTCTTTTGAGTGTGTTGCTGAAGACACCAACTAACACTGTACAGGCTTGGGGTCTCAGTTGAGTTGTGAGCACAAGTGTACAGTGAATGCTCTTCACCAGACAGTGGGCATCTGGGAGAGTCATGGAGGCCTAAGACAGGGCTGTGTGTGCTTTTTTGCCGGAGTGGGAGTGAGGAAGGCAACCTGAGGAGCTGGGTGTGGCTACTCTGTTTTTCCTGCCCTGGACTTCTCAAGGGCAACTTGGGAATTCACCCAGTAGTGCAGCTTCAGTGTGTCAACCAAGAAACTTCCTTCTCCAGGTGGTGGCTGCCCTCCTTGGTGGGCAGACTGTTTTCTTATTGGGGATATTTTGAAAGGGACATTAGTTTCATGCCTGTGTAGCTGTTCTTCACCTAGGTGCCCTCCGGGTCTGCATTCACCTTGTCCCTGGAGAGGAGCACTACTTTTCTACAGAACATGGGCTTGGAATGAGATTGTTACTGTTTATTGTTCAGTGGGAATATGACTACTAGTGTTTAAAACATTGTCTTTACAAGGGTACTTCACGGTGTCATGCCATCCAACACCCCCACTTTTTAATACCTTTTAAATACTTCTCTGTGTGATTTGGTGGAGGGTAGACATTAGTAACTATATTAAAGATCTTTAGAGCAATATTCATGAAATTAAAAGAGACCTTGATAGGGTTTTGGATCCCATATTAATTGTTTATAGAATCCAAGAACTTCATCTAGGGAAGACAGTCCCTATTAGGACTTCAGCTTCAACCTTCAACAGGCATTCTAAGGAACAGTGGCTGTTGTCAAGAGTGGTGTGTCCTTATAGTGGGACTAGGCGTGGAGGTGCATCTTGCCCACCCTGAGAAACATGGGTTAAGGCACAAGATGCCGTGGTGGCATGCTCAAGTGGTTTTGATGACACTATCACATCTCACCTCATTGCCTACTGAAGTGGTGGCTGCCCTCTTTCTTCACCTGAAATTGACAATGAAGGTGTCCTCTGCACCTGTCACTGTGCAGAGTGGGCACAAAGCTGTGGTGGGGTGTGTGTGACAGGTGCTGCATGATAAAGAATATTTTCTCTTGTTTCCTTGTTTTTTGTTTGTTTGTTTTTTTGTACCTGGGGTTGAACTCAGGGACACTTGACCACTGAGCCACATCCCCAGTCCTGCTTTTGTATTTTATTTAAAGACAGGGTCTCACTGATCTGCCTAGTGCCTCGCCATTGCTGAGGCTGGCTTTGAACTTGAGATTCTCTGGTCTCAGCCTCGTGAGCCACTGGATTACAGACGTGTGGTGCCTACTGTTTCCTTGGTTTTAAAAAGTATATCTCATGTGCTAGCATGTCCTTTTGTTCATAATGAATTAATTGACCTACCTGAAACTTTAGAAAAGCACTAAAAATGAGTTGTAATGATTTAGTATATTCTGACAGAACTTTTTTTTGGTCTTTATTTAATTTCCAAAGTGAATGAGTCTGAAAATTCTTGAAAAATTAATCAGTAGACTCTAAGTGAAGCTTCAGAGTCACAGGAGTCAGACATTCACATTCGGTATTACACTTAGGAAATCCACAGGCATGTTTTCTTATTTCCAGCACTTGTTTTTCTGTATCCCATGATGAGTAAGGATGGTCTGTGGCTTCTGAAAAATGCACACTGCCTTTCTCATGAGCAATAACAGTGCTTATTGTATTTCCTTCCTTACTATTCGAGATGGTGAGGTGTGATGTCATCAGGAGAATGGAGTAACCTTTCCCATTTTGGAATTCATCTTAACAAGGACTGCCTGACGGTGAAGACCTCCCTGTTCTTGGTGTGCAGAGGAGGAGGGTGGGAAGAGCCGCTGGGCAGTTCTTCCTCTTCCTCTGCATCTACTCCTTGACTCAGACTGGCCCGTAACCCAGAGTGTATCTTGGAGCTTGGTTCTTTCAGTTTACACAAGACATTTATCAGAATGAAGATCCTGTGAAAGGAGGTCCCTATATCATCATCACTGTCCCCCGGGCCACTTGACTGATAGGAGGAAGGTGTTCTTGCTTGTAGACCTGTGAACAGAAGTGGAGAGTGGGCATGGTAGGCAGGCCCCGTGCTCCCTCTGGGGCCCTGAGGAAGCTCCTGAGCTCAGGAAAGCCCAAGAATCCCAGTGCTGGGTTGCTTGGTCATCTGTCTGTTGTCTCCTTATTAGTGTCTTAACGTTAAAATACTTATATTTTATTTCTTTAAGAGTGTTTATTGCAGATTGACAATTTGCTTATTATTATTTAGCCAACCCAGAGAATAAGCTGCTGAGGTGGCCCTTTACCCCTGGGTGGAATTTCTCCCGAGAACAAGAACACTCTTCTGCACAAGTGGATATAATTAGCACAGTCTGGACATTTGGCACTGATACTTGCATATTATATTTGGAACATTGATATTATAATATTTGCAATACTTGATTTAACATGTAGTCCATACATAGATTTTACCAGTTACCCTGATATGTCTGTTCCCCACTCCTGAAACCAGTATGTCACACTGCCTGGTTTTGAGTCAGTCACTGATCTGGAACAGCCCTCCAGCTGTCTGTTTTGGAAGCCAGTCAGAATTGTCAGTAGGTTCACCGAGGCCCTCACTGCCCAGGGTCAGGGAGCTCAGCCATCTCTTTGCTCCATAGCTGTGTTTTCCCATCTCTTGGAGCAAGACACTGGCGACTTTTAAAAATGGGTGGTCAGTTTTCTTTACCTCCTGGGACTGAATAAAATCTTCTGTTCCTAGTATTTAAAGTGATTTACAGAAAATACCAACATAGATCAACAGTACATAGCAGGAGACTGAGAATAGCACCATTCAGTGACAGTCACTGTGGAATGGTAGGGGTCAAAATGTGCTTTTATTTCAGATGAAGTAGATTTCATTTAGAGAAGTAAAACGTAGAGAAACTGGACTGTTAACTAGAAGGACTCCAGTGGGCCTGTTAGTTCAGGTCTTCCCTAGAGAGGGAGGGCAGGGAAGAATTGAGTAGTTCCTGTTCTCGTCCTTCCACTTAGGTTTGGTCTGCACATTTGCCAGTCCACCTGTCCAGGTCCAGCTGCAGCCTCCCATAGTGCACCTGGAGTCACTGGTAGACATCTCCTGTACTTTCACACCTGTCATTATCTGAGGTTGTCTTGTTTTTCAAGATGAATTTCTCCTTTGGTGAAGTGCAGGAAAGTTGAACGTGCCTTTGGACGAGTCCCCCCACATAACCCTGACCCCTGCCAGAAGCAACCATCAGTCCAGAGTGCTCTGCCTCTCCCACCCAGGGCTGCACTCGCAGCCTTTCCCTTGCTGAGGGCCGAGGAGTCCCACGTGTGGAGCTGTGGAGCTGTGGGGCGTGGGTTTGAGGTGCGCCTTCTCTCAGTCCATGAGTGTTCTTCCGTCGTCTGCTTTCTGTCTTTTGTGACTAGATAAGTGTTCCACTGTGGATGTTCTGGCCTGCCTGTCCATCCTCCTAGAATGGACCTCTGGGCTCTTTCCAGTGTGGCATTGTTAACTTGTACTGTGGCAGTGAGCGTCCCTGCTGGGGTCTCCTGTGACGTGTGTCCGTTTCTCTGGGTGAAGTGCCTGAGTGGGATTGGCAAGTCATAAAGGGTGCCTGTTTGCTTTTTGAGCACCTCCAGGCCGGTTTTGAAAACGGCGGCATCAGCCAGGCTCTGTTGCTGTTGTCTTTGTCACCACTTGCAGGGCAGTCTCTAGCCGTTCTGTGGGTGTGCAGGTGCTTGTCCTCGGGGCCTTAATTCTCATTTCTCTGGCGACCAGCAACGTTGAGCATGAGCTCTTTGCACTGTGTGTTGCAAGGCGTGGTGGGGAGAAGCAGTTGGCAGTTGACCAATAGCTTGTGGGGAATTCTTGGTGTGGACCCTAGTCTTCACTTCTGACTAACTCGTGTTCCAAAGCTGGTAGCCACTTGGAGTTTGATCTTTTCCTGCAGCTAGTGGGCAGAGTCCCAGGTGTTCCTCGTGACTGGAACAGGCTGATAGGCCATTGCTTCTCCCTTGGGATTGGGGAGAACAACCCTGTCCAGGGGAGGCTGGCCACAGGCTTATGAGATTTTTAGGTAAACGTGATTGCTGCTTGTTGCTGTGACACATACCTGAGATGAAGAGCATGAGGAAAGATTCAGTTAGGCTCACAGTTTCAAAGGTTTTAGGTAGGAGTTCAGGGACACCGAGGTGGCAGAGGCAGGCACAAGAAAGATGCTGCTGGGGGAAAGACAGGGAGAGGAGCATCATGTCCCTGTTTTAGATAAGTTCCGTTACCATAACAACTCCCACCATGACATCTGCCACCGGTCAGTGTTTTTAAATGACCAATGGGGGTAAACTGGGCAGTATTCTAATTAGGTTTTCCAAAGTCACCAAGGGGGGAAATTGGGCAATATTCTACTTAGGTATCTAAGTAATCAGTGGGGTAAACGGGGTGAGGTCCTCAGTCAGGTCTGCTCAGGGAAGAGAAGCCGCACAGCTCAGCCTGGAAGGCCTAATTCCAGACCTTGGGCCTTGACCCCTGCTCTGCCCACTCTGCTCTTCTTAGGGAGCGCCACTTCCACCTCTACTTGCAGTAAATGTTCTGTACTCTGCCTGTTACTTGTGTGGGCCTTGTTCAGTTCCTTGTTAGGGACACCAGGGACCTGGGCTGCACCTGGCCATCCTGACGAGAGCGGTGGGCTGGCTCCATGTGTTGGGCCTGAGGTAGAGCAGAACGTCCTGGCACAAGGGTGGGAGGAGGAGGGATGTCAGCTCGTGGCAGCCAGGGACAGTGTAGTCCCCAAGGGCCCACTCCTTTCAACTAGGCCCCCACCTCCAGTGGCCAATTCCCATGATCAGTTCCCACATGAACTAACCCACTGATGTGGTCGAGCTCACGATCTCGTCATTTCCTAAATGTCCCACCTCTGGACGTTGCTGTGTCCAGGACCAAGCCTTCAACACACGAGCCTCTGGGTGAGGGGGTCCAAACCCTAACGGTAAGTCTGCAAACTTGGCTGCTGTGGGCAGTGTTGCTGGCATTGCCGTGCCTCCTGGTTCCCTGGAGGGGTGCTGAGACCTGCTGCTCAGGTCACATTGATGGTGGTGCGCAGCCCCACGGCTCACCTTCTCCAGAGGCCAGCGGCAGAGCGCAGCTTTTGTGTTTGGAACCTTTCTTCCCTGAAGATCCTCGCTTCTGCTCTTCCAGGTCCCCTGCTAGCAGCAGCAGTTGATGTTTTTCCTGCGTACCTAAAGCAGGCTGGTGCCGGGAGGGCCCTGGAACTCCTTCAGAGGTCTGCCCCGCCTGTGAGCTGTCTTTCGTCGTGACCCTCACGATGCCTGTCTTTCCCCACAGGTTGTTCTCAGTACACAAACAGATCCTGTGAGGAGTGCCTGAAGAATGTCTCTGTAAGTAGTGCAGATGAGGTCGCTGACCAGAAACGGACCGGCTTCCTCTATCCCAGGAGACACGTGGGTGTAGAGAGATTGTAGGGTGTTCGTGGTGACGGCCATTACAGACACTGTCGGGCTCTCCCGGGCACACTGCACCTCCTTACCTTTCACCACACAGGCAGCGAGGGCGACTGTACTCTTGCAGCAGGTGTTAGCGAGGAGGAAGTGTGCAGGCAGGGTCTCCTGGAGCTCGTTGGCAAGCTCAGGAGTGCTGGTGCTTGGTGGCCAGTGCTGAGACAGAGTCCCTGGGCTGAGCATCTGCTGTACAGCCACTTCCTGGCCAGGCCTTCCCTCTAGGGCCGTCAGCCCTGAGAGTCTGTTGGGGACGGTGACTTCATCTCACTGAGGGGCTGGGCCTCCACAGCAGGCCCAAGGCTCTGTTGCCCACTTGTGCTCAGTGCTGTGGCAACCACCCCCCTCATAGGGCCTCATCAGGAGGACCTTGGGCCACTGTCTGCGACTGTACCATGCCTTCCCTCCACAGTCAGGGCCTGTGGGGTGCGTCAGTTCCTCTTACAGGAGGGAGAGGTTGCTTAGGGAGAGGCACCTGGCAGGTCATTGAAAGACTTGGGGCCAGCCTGTCCACTGAAAAGACAGCCAGCATGTTTGGATTTTGTCCCCAACGTTTTAAAATCCCTATGTGCCCTTCAGTAAGAGGGTGGTCATTCTGGAGCAAGATTGCCCAATCCTCCGCTTTATGAGGTGGGTCAGAGACCCAATTGTCTCCCTGTAGATGGGTCATTCTAGGCTTGTTGGAAATGGGTACTCCATCTGGGAGAAGTAGGAGCCAGCTGTGGGGATACCCCAACATAGATCCTGAGAAGATGCATGAACGTCGGCTTGGTTCGGGGCCTTTGGCCTTTCTGCCGCGGTGGCCTGCCCCCAGCCACCTCTCAGCAGCTCTGGCCGGCCAAGGGGCTCTCAGTTGACCCTGTGTAGTCCAGAGCCCTGTAGTAGCTTGAGAGAAGGCTAGCAGTGGGGACCAAAAGCAGCCTTCTGTGGCCTCTTTCTGAGGTCCAGGGAGTCCTCCTCCCCCATCTCCAGGAGGTTGTCACGGGTTTTCAGGACTAGAGAGCCTGTTTCTTCCCCAGCCGTGGGAAGCAGCAGGAACTGAGTGGCAGATGATTTCCACTGCGTGGTGTGTTTTTAAAGAACAACTCTCACCCACCTGACAGTGGTGCGGTTTGTGATGTGTCTTGTCACTTAGTGGGACTGAAAATCAGGATCAGCTGCCCCTGTAGCCTATCTTTCTTTTTTTTATTATTATTTTTTAGTCACCAATGGACCTTTAATTAATTTATTTACATGTTGCTGAAAATCAAACCCAGTGCCTCATACATGCTGGGCAAGCGCTCCACCACTCAGCCCAGCCCAGCCCAGCCCTGGGCAGCCTGTCTTGACACCACTGTTTTGTGGCTGTTTGTTTTCTGACTCTGGCTTTCCTATTGGAAGTCATTTCAGCCATAAAAATAGCTTGTCGCCAGACCTGGCCTTGTAGTCTAGAGCTGGTTTGTGCTGTACTGCCCTGGGTAGGTGTGGTGACAACAGAGTCCACAGAGACCCAGCCAGGTCACATAGGTGGGGCCAGTCCTGGAGAGCCGAGTCCTGACCCCACACTAGCCACAGGGCAAACCAGAAAGGCCAGGTACAGAGGGCTAGCCCCAGACCCTCTGGGCCTCTGCTGGAGTGCACTCAGGCTTCTGGAGGCCACAAGAGGACCAAGTAGGATTTGAAAATGGAAGACTAGCCAAAAGTGGTTGACCTCTGGAGTGGAAGATGTTCCAGATGGCAGGTGCACAGGGTCTGACTGTTGTTACCACGTTGTGCTCTGAATTGTGTGGAAACAAGACATTAAGGCATTGCTGTGCTCTTGCCCTGGGGAAGGGAGCCCAGGGTACACTTTAGTATTTTTGTAATAGATGTTCACCCTAACTTAAGATCAAAATATTGTGATTGTTTTTAGTCCTGTTAAAAATTCCGGGGCTGGGATGTGGCTCAATGGTAGAGCGCTTGCCTAGCATGTGTGAGGCCCTGGGTTCCATCTTCAACACCACATGTAAATAAAATAAAGGTCTGTTGACAACTAAAAAAATATTTTTCAAAAATAGAAGAATGGCTCAAGTGGTAGCGCGCTCGCCTACCATGCGTGAGGCACTGGGTTCAATTCTCAGCACCACATAGAAACAAAATAAAGATATTGTGTTCACCTAATACTAAAAAATAAATATTATTAAAAAAACCAGGAGAAAGAAGAGTTCTGTAATGCTGTTAGCATCAGGGTTTGCAGTGCAGGTGTGCCCCAGCGTAGGCTGGCAAGCTCGGTGCTGCTGGGGCTGCGGCTTTTCAGCCCCATCCCGTGTGTTAGCTGCCCTGGCATCCCGCTCTGGGAGCATGCCCAGACTGTTGTGCACACCTGTGGCGTCTGGTGGGCCTTGTCCTGCCCTGCTCTTGACACCACTGCAGGTGTGAGGGTGCCATCTCACACAGCTGCACCTCACCATGACCCTGTGGGGCTCAGCGTCGACCGTGAGGTTCCCATAGGTCTTCAGCTCAGGCAGTTGCCTCTGAGCCCTGGCCATGTTGTCTTCCAAGCTGTAGTGATGCAGTGCCACTGTAAGGAGGGACCTCTCAGTGATTGTTGAGGTCCCCAGTTCCTTCACCAGGCACCTCAGGAATGCCCACTGGGGGCCAGGCTGCATCCCAGGCCTGTTTGCACAGATGCCTGTGCTGGTGCAGCGTGGCAGCAGGCATGTGAGCAGGGCAGGCTAGCGGCACCAAAGGGCGGACAGTGGGGTGGGGAATGTGCTCCCTGGACAACAGCCAGCCTATGTAGCCAAGTCCAGTTAAGTTGTGCAGGCTGTCTGAGGTACAAGGGTTGTTGACAGGACTCCTAGCCATTGTATGGGGCATTGACTGAAGGGCAGCAAGGATGAGAAACACGAGTTGGGGGCCAAGGCCATTGTGGTCATCTGGGGAGAGGTACTGCTGCCCATGGCGGTGGAGGTGGTGAGAAGCGCCAGGTCCTGGCAGGCTGGCTCTGGGTTTTGCATTGTGTTCTCGTTTGGTCTTTTCCAGTGTCTGTGGTGCAACGCTAATAACGCCTGCTTGGAATACCCCGTCAGAAAAATACTGCCCCCTGCCTCTCTCTGCAAGCTGAGCTCTGCACGCTGGGGCGTTTGCTGGGGTGAGTTGTTTTCATTTATTTCTTGCAAAATGGTGCTGTTTTGAAAATTCTAACACATCTCAGGTAGTGTAACATGCGGCCGTAACTCTGTGACACTCCTAGAGAGAAAGAAGTCAGGGAGCCAGTGGTCATCTGGTGTCAGGTCAAGCGGCCAGGTCCTGGGAGTTTGAAGGAATCCTTCAGTGTAGTTGGCCTCAGCATCTGTAGTCACACAGGTTCTGAGGGAGATGGCCTTGTAGTGGCAAGAGGGAGGGTTCCCTGATTCCCAGATGAGCTCGGGTTGGCTTATCTGGTGACTTCTGAGGGCTGAGAGAGACCTGCAACCTGCTGCTGGGGACAAGCCCATACTGTGTCTGTCCCATGTGTGAGAAGGGGGTTGTGAGCTGGGGGTCCACATCATAGGAGCGTAGTGGTGGGAGTTTGGAGGGCCTCTCAGCATCTCCTGGTGCCAAGAGGGGTCAAGGCCTACCTGGGGGTGGGTGTTTATCCTTAAAAATAACTCTCTTGGCAAACTGCCACCTTCCAGACCTGCCAGGACGGCAGCCTAGGGAGACAGCTCTCTGTGGTATTTCTTGATGTCCTTGAACAAACTGAGGCCACGGTGCACCACCGCCCAGAGAATCTGTTCTTAAAGCTGTCTTCAGTAAACTCTTCTAACTGGGTGATGGAAATATGTTTGTAAAAGCTGTACAGCATGTTCTTTAATTGGCTCTGGTTTGAATTGAGTAGAATTGACTACTTTCAGTTTAAAAAGACCTTTAAGGAAAATTGAAGAAAATGGTAAAACTTGTTTTGGATTGGCTTGAACTAGCAAGTCACACCACTGAAACTCATTAGGCAGCCACATTGAACAAACCCTGGGGAATCGATAGTACTCAGATTTGAAGACCACCCCACATGGCCTGTGGCTTGGGCTGCTTCTCCAAGCTCCTTCCTTTTGGGTCTGGTGGTCACTGTCCCCTGAAAGAAGTTTGTTTTTCTGGGGAGTGGTTGTAATCTTCTTGACGTTGATTTAAATGATAAACAGAGCTTCCTCAGGGTGCCTAACCTGTTTTTACAGTTCCGCTATGTTAGGAGTTCAGGCTGTCCTGGGACAGGACCAATAGACAGCTTGGTGGGTTTTTTCTTTTCTTTTTAAATATTTTTTTCAGTTGCAGTTGGACGTAATACCTTTATTTTATTTATTTATTTTTATGTGGTGCTGAGGATCGAGCATTCTACCACTGAGCCACAACCCCAGCCCGATTCTTTTTCTTCTTGCTGGTTTTTGTTAATCTTCGTTAGTTTGTGAACATCTTTCCAATCTCAAGTAAAAGAAGCTGTTGTGTCCCTTTGATTCATTGTGGTTAACCTAGAAATTGTAAGTCACACATAGATGTCTAAGGAACGCGGTGCCAGGAGCCACAGACCAGGACTGCCCCGGTGGCTGAGGGGAGGGAGGTTCAGTGGTAGGTCCCATACCTGAAGCAGTCCTAACTCCAGCTGTTGGATTTCCAGTGAACTTCCAGGCGTTGATCATCGCCATGTCAGTGTTGGGGGGCATCTTCCTCCTGGGCATCACTGTTTGCTGCTGCTGCTGCTGCCGCCGGCGGAAGAGGAGTCAGAAACCAGATAAGGACGACGAGCGCGCCATGAGAGAGCACGAAGAAAGGAGGGTCCGGCAGGAGGAGAGGTGAGGTCTCAGCAGGGGAGTTTACTTCAGGGAACTCAGATCTGGAAACATTTATGAGTCATGAATTTTGTTTTTTCAAAAGGAGAATGTGCTCAGTGTCCACAGGGTGGTCCTAGGCTATGTAAAGAGTGAGAAACTGGCAGGCATCTCGCGGAATGGCTCTAGCCGTGGCCCAGGCCTTCGTCTGTGGGTTTTCTCTTGGTGGCAGGCAGTTGGTGGTGCAGCCTGGCTTGACGTGTGCTCCTGTGATGTAATGACTGCCCTTGAGCCTGCAGAGGTGTCTGGGCTTCTGAGCCCTCTAGTCCCTGCCCCATCTACTCAGCTGAGCAAGCGGAGGCTCCGGCACGGATGGGGTCACCCTGACACTGTGCAGCACAGCACTCTGCTGGCCTGTGCAGGGGCCTCAAGCCCTGGTAGCTGGAGGGGCTGTTGTCCCCTCAGACTGGCAGCTGGTGTCCTCCTGAGGTTTCCACCCTCTGGGCCACTTGATGCATGTCTGCAATTGCGTTTTCCTAACCTCCCTCAGAACCTGGCGGGGTTGGTGCATTTTCATTGTACAAAAGGAGATTGTAAAAGATCACAGTGTTGGGCATTTGAGGAGGTGTACTGATGAGGAGACTGGATGCTGAGCAGCCTTGGGGACTGCTCTGCCACCCTGTGCTGCCCTAGTGGGCCCGTCTGATGGCTCAGCTCACCCAGCTGGGTCTCCTGGGAAGCGTGTATTTTTTGAGACAATGTTGTGCATTGTGGTTTGATGCTACCTGATGTTTTTTATGCTTTTTAGGAGAGCTGAGATGAAGTCAAGACATGATGAAATCAGAAAAAAATATGGTAAGGCTCCATTGCACCTCCTTTGGGCTGTCCTGGAATGGGTACCATATCTTGTGCCGCAGCTACTCTCTGTGGCTCTCCGACATGAGGACAGCAGCTGGTGTTACTCTAGGCTCAGTGCTTAACGCGTGATGGCACGAGTGTCTTCAGAGGAGAGACCCCCGCAGGCGTTTATCTGGGCCAGACTTGTTTTTCTTGGGTACTTGTTTGTTCCTGAAGTATGGTAACTTCCAGAAAGGCCATCAGTAGCTGGTGTGTCCTCCTCGTTGCCTTCAAGTGGGCGCACCTGTGCCACAGTTAGGCTGGTTCCCTGTGCAGCCCACAAGCCCTTCACCCTGGCCTGCCTCCTGCTGTGGGCTGAGTGCAGCAGACAGCCCTCCTTTCTCAGGCGCTGGCCTGAGCTGCAGCTGGTCTGTCAGTGCCTCTGCTGTCCCCTGCACGCTTGCTCTTGCTGCCTTGTTTTGGGGTGGCTTTTTTTTTTTTTTAAGAATTTTGTTTTATTTTTTTTTTTAAAGATAGAGTGAGAGAGGGAGGGAGGGAGGGAGGGAGAGAGAGAGAATTTTTAATATTAATTTTTAGTTCTTGGCAGACACAACATCTTTGTTGTACGTGGTGCTGAGGATGGAACCCGGGCCGCACGCAGGCCAGGGGAGCGCGCTGCCGCTTGAGCCCCATCCCCAGCCCCTGGGGGTGGCTTTGAAGGGGTCAGAGTGAGGTGTGTGTGTCTCATGTAAACCTTTCATCCTGGTGGCAGGGTCTGGAAACCCAGTCACATGTTGCTGGGAGCATTGGACCCTGCTGTCTTCTGTGCTCCTGTGCTTCTGAGCTGATGTGGAAGCCACCAAGTTCCAGAATTTTCTGTGCTGGGTTTGGTGGTTGCATGGTGGTGGGCATATGAGCAACTGCCTCCCTTGCTGTCCAGGAACCCAGGCCTCTGGGTCCCTGTCCTTTCCTTCACTGAGGCCCTGTGCTGTCCTGGAGAACTGTGTTAAGGGTGAAATCCTATGAGGAGAATTTCTTTTTTTTTTTTGGTGCTGGGGATTGAACTCGGGGCACTCGCCCACTGAACCACATCCGCAGCCCTATTTTGTATTTTATTTAGAGACAGGGTCTCACTGAGTTGCTTAGCACCTTGCTTTTGCTGAGGCTGGCTTTGAACTCAGGATCCTCCTGTCTCAGCCCCCTGAGCTGCTGGGATTATAGGCATGCACCACCGTACCTGTCACCTGAAGAGAATTTCAGAATCTTTTCCCAATGAATGCAGTTTGAGTCCTCTAAGTAAATGCGATATTTTGAGATCTTAGCCGTTGGGATCGTTATTATCACTCCTTGGTTTCTGTGGTTGGGGGAAGAACAGAACCCAGTAGCACTAGTAGACAGTGTGGTGCTTCCAGGTGTGAGCTGTTAAAATATTAAATGTGTGTGGGTTTAGTTCCCTGTGGTGGGGCCACAGGGGCCCCATTGCTGCTGGTGTTGGTGCTGTGCACAGTGATTAGCTCTGTCAGCTGGCCAGGAGGTCTCTGTCCTAACTGGTCAGACCGCTTCCCAGTCACACTGTGCACAAGAAGCCAAGACTGGGTTGCAAAGGCCAGGACTGACCCTGCTGGCTTGGCGTGTGGCCTCAGGCTAGAGATGGCCCTGCTTTCCCGAGGCCCGGGACTCCTCTCCTTCCAGGGGGATGCGCAGCAGCTGGTGGAGCTCCTGCCCTCGCCTGCTCCAGGCTGCTGCACTGGCCCCTGCTCTCTCCTGGCCAGCCTGCCATCCCCACTGCCTCTGCCGCAGGGCCAGCCTGTTTCTAGCCCTCACCTGGCCCTCTGCACCCCCTGGCTCCAAGTGTGGGTGGCGATTGGACTTCCTGGTGCGACTCCCATGTAGAGCAGGACATCAAGCATCCATACCACCCCTTGGCTGGACGCAGCTTACTTTGAAGAGTCCAGAGGAGCTTTTTGACACTGATGAGTGTAAATATGAATAGAAGACTAGGTGAACATGCATGCTCACGCGTGCACACAGAGCACAGTGTTGGTCACTGCCACGCACCCTTGGACTTTGGCTTTGCCTGACTTCTGTGTGGGCAGAGGCCAGTTCATGGCTCTGGGTGGGTCGTACTGCTTGCCTGTTCCTGCCATGGTGGTGCTGGACTTGCCCTCTCCTTGGGCCTCTGCTTTTTTTGCTCGCTTATAATAGAGCCCATTGAGTGGCCTGCACTTTGAACAGCCTTGGCTGCGTGGAGTAAGTCCCCGGAGGTCCTGGTAGGGGAAGACACTTGGGTTGACTTGGTCAGCTAACAGGGTCCTTGGGCCTCTCGTGGTTTTGGAAGGCATTTAACTTGTTATCACAAAATGGCTTGCCTCGTGTTTTGCCTCCAAACTGGCATGAGAGCCAGGAGCTCTTCTCTCACTAAGGCCTTGGCATGGCTGCTCCTGTGTGCATTCAGTGTCTGGGCTATGGGCCAGAACTGACTGCAGCCTCCTCCACTGAGGTCTGCACAAACAGTCCTGACCGGTCGCACCCTCCTGTTGCCCTGCCCGCGTGTTCCCTGCCCCTGCTTCCCCGCCCCCAGCAGACCTGCAGTAAGTAGGTTTGTTGTGCTGGCTCCTGGTCATTTTGTCACACACAGTGTGTGTGTGTTTCTGCAAGGTGAAGAGGAAACGTCGGGTTTGGGGTCAGTACCACGGACTGACTTTTGTGCATACATTCTCTTTTTATCCCAGTTATGTTGTAATGCTCAAGTCAACTTGGTGGTCGGCTTCCTTTTGTAACTTTGATTCTAAAGTTTAATAGCAATTATAGGAAATTCAGAGTGAGGAGGTTGGTTTGGTTTTTCTGTATAATTCTAGGAGCCAGTACCAAAGGAAGCATTTGCTTTCTCTTTGTGCTTTCTCTTCAGCAAGTCAGTCTTCACTTGTTAGGATCTGTCACCATTATTGTTTCTGGTAAGTTTTCAGTTTCAGAGTCCACTGTGGTTTGACTTCAGGAAGGGTCCGGCAGCTTTGGCCTGCGGAGAACCCGTTCCTCGGCCTCAGTACATGTTCATGTGAAACTCAGCCAGCCAACATTGCTTTCAGGCGTTCTGTTTCCAGTTGAGTGAGTGCATTTCTAATTCAAGTCTGTTTTCTTTCAGGTTTGTTTAAAGAACAAAACCCATATGAGAAGTTTTAGGACGACTGCGTATGTGTCCGAAAGATTAGGCGGTCCTGGGCCCTCCTGCAGGCTCATGCTGCCCAGCACAGGTCAGGAGCCCGCTGCACCCTGGGCTAGCCTCCAGCAGAGTCCTGGAAGCTGCCCTGAGAGGACAATCCTGCTCTTGCCCTGTCGGCTGTGGCCTTCTGTCCCTCCTGCCTCTGTTCTGTATTTAGCTGCTCAAGACATTAATCTCGCTGGGCCCTTGCTCTTTTCCGTTCACTGTCGTCTGCCTGTCTTGGTCTACAAGCTGATGACCAGGTGAGCAGTCCACAGTCCGATGTGCCAGCAGTTCTGCTGCAGCAGCAGAGGTCCCGAGGGCCTCTCTCCACCAGCAAGCTTCACACAGTGATGGGGACAGTCACCTTCACTGTGTCATGGGCGAACTGAGCAAGCCATTCTCATTTCCCAAAAAAAAATCCATGGGTGGCACTTCTGTGTGCCCATCTCTTTGAACCTTGGTGTGTCTTAATGCAGGTAGCTTTTTGTAGAAAATAGTGTCCCATACACAGTTTGATAAGGATCTCTTTCCTCACTGCAACTATGTCGAATAGCACTAAAGAAGAGTTAAAATCACCTTAATTAAAAATAATAATTCTTGGATGCCATCACCAAAGTATTCCCACCCCCAGATATTCTTGTAAAAGATCAGACCCTTATGAGATGGTAGTTTTAAATTTACATCTATTAAAGACCCGAGAGTCTTTCCCCATGGAAACACAAATTGCCCTCGGGCTGGAGTGGGTGCTCTGGTGCCCACCTCACCTTCCCTCCAGCTCCACCAGCACCTGGGCCGTCATAGGTCCTTGGGAATATTCTCGTAAGCCTTCTGAGAGGTGGTCATTTTGGGTCATGGGCCTGGCACGTTTACCCCAAGAAGGGAGAAGGTCATCCATAGGCCAGCCCCTCTTCAAGGCCCAGTATGCAGGACACCCGTGTGTTGGGGCCTGCCGAAGGTCCTCCACACACTGCCACAGGTAGGCTGCCTGCAGCAGGCCACCTACTCCAGCTGCACTTCAGCTTGGGCTGTGGGAGGCTTTCTGTCTGAGGCGGCGACTGTAAGTTATCAGAGAAGCTCCAGGTGCCCCAGGCTGTGCATTTCTTTAAAATCAAGACACATGAGTAGTGAGCAGAACGTTCTTGGTGGCACGGACAGCTAGATGCTTTTCCTAAAAGATACTAGACAATACTTCCAGTTGCCAGGTTGCTTTGAATTTAAAAAAAAAAAATTCTCCCCGGGAATGTAGGTAGCCAGCACCAGTGGCAAGCAGCGTGTTCCGTCCTCACGCTCCTGATGATGCTGTGGGTGGCATCCGTGACTGTGGCCCTCGTGACGGGCAGGTCGCCTGGCAGTGGCTCTGCCAATTCTTACACTAAGGATGTGGCCCTTGACAAATGCTTCAGTCTTATTTTTCTGACTTCTTGGGAATTGGATAGTAATTTTTAAAGTATTATGAAACATTCCTAAGTATGTGATGGCAGCTGTCATAATAGGCTTTAATGAACTTTGTATTAACCTGATAGTATGTATGTAAAATCACAGTTTCTTTCATTGAGGTTGCCACGTTAAAGTAGAGCAACCTGTTTTTAAATACAGTGTATTTGATTCTCACATCAGGTGACCTTAGGCTGGTCTTGGTTGAGCTTTTCTCTGAACTGAGGCTAAGGGAGCCACACAACTGTGAGCTTGAGGAGACTGCCGTGTTCAGAGTGCCTTACTTTTAACCAGTTTCCAATAAAATGGTTCTGTGCCTGCTTTTGTTTACTAAACACAGTGTCCCTCTCTGGGTGGCGACTCCTCTGTGGCTGGGGGCAGGTGGATCTGTCAGGTGAGGCTGAGCTTCTGGGCTATCCTATGATGCCGTGAGCCGATCCAATGACACCATGACCCCCAGGGCTGGACCAGGCTATGTCCTGGAATTGCCCCACCTGCCAGCGGCTTTCCTTCTGCTTCTGTGCGGGGCACAGAGGAAGCCGTCTTCCTTTGCAGTCTTTGAAATGCCATGGTGACAGGCACCTGGTCTAGAGGGCCTGATTCTGCAGAGTGCCCGGAGACTGCCTCTGTAGGGCACTTTGGGGTGCAGCAGAGATGGAAGATATCCAGGTGACAGCAAATCTGCCCCTGCAGAGACAGCTGCTGAGGGCTGGGGATGTAGCTCAGCAAACTTGGTGAAGTGCAGGGCCCTGGTTCAACCCCCAGACCACCAGGAGTCTCTGAGCCCCAGTGTGCACAACCAGAAGGTTGTGGGTTCCCTGGCCACTAAGAGCTGGCTGCCCAGCGCCCAGCTGCAGTGCAGGACAGCCAGGGAAGGGGCTCAGAACAGGAATCCAGGGAGGTAGCTACATGACCTTGGGGAAGAAAGGAGCTTGCTGGGCAGAGTGCCACCCGGGCTGTTTGTGTGGGAGGCCTTGGGAAGCAGAAGTGCCCGTGTCCCCGCCTTTGCAGGCAGGGCACTGAGGGATGGTGATCCCCAAATGTCCTTTGCATCCTGGTCCAGGGCCCTCATACCTGGTCACTCCTGGTGCCACAGGGCCCCCGGTTTCTGTGACACAAGCAGACTGCTCTGGGTAAATAATGTTGGCAACATTCACCAAAAGCTTTACCAAAGAAGGGCTGACGGGCGGGGCTGATGGGTGGGTGTCAGCCTTCCAGGGAGGTGGGTGAGCTCCTGGGTCTGGCTGCTGCTGCTTCTGCAGCAGCAGCAGCTGCACAGGGCCTTGGTGGCCTTGAGACGATGAGTCCTGGGCATGTTCCAGGAAGGTGGGACAGATCCGTTCACAGTTGACCTGGGCCCTCAGACTTGGTGATCATGTGGAAATGCGGAGCAGAGGTGACCTGCAGCCTCCGCAAACCTCACACCTCTGTTTGCAGAGCAGAGGCCCCTCACAGCCCTCAGCCCACACTCTACCAGATCACCGTGGTCACCACTGAGCCTCACTGTCACACCCTGTGCTGCAGGGTGGCACTGAAAAGACAAACCCCATTTTGCAGTGAAGAGTCAGCTGCACAGAATGCTGGTCTGGGTTCTATCCCAAGGAGCATTAGCACAGGGAAGAGCAGGAGGGGCTCCCACTGAGCTCAGGTGGGGCCTGAGTCTGGCGCTCATCCCAGCTGTTCTCTTGCTCCCTCCCAGGGCTCAAGATAGGCACAGGTTCCAGCAGGGGAAAGGTGTCCCGCACACAGCCAGTTGGGAGGCTCTGAGCTGTGACTTGATGGGATTCTTTCACTGGAGGCACCTGGGTTCCAGGAGATGTTCAGCCAGGAAGAAGAACTTTCATAAACTAGGACTTAGGAGCAGTGTGCTGAGCTCCCAGGGCCCCGTGCTCTCTGCCCAGGTCTTCCTTTAAAGTCTCAGGGCATAGTCTGTCACAGGAACTGCCTTGGCCTGGCCCTCAACCGGGGCCCTTGCAGGTCTCAGAGGCACTGACCCCAGGTGCCTGCCCACCAACCTCAGCACTGAGCTCAGTGCTCAGCCTTTCTCTGCATTTCATCCTGGCCCATGCTCTTGACTCCCACCCTCCAACCTTGGGGTACCCACCTTCCCCAAAGAAAGACCTCCAAGACATTGTCCTGGGTTGTGCTTCCCAGGAACCCCTGGAAGTCATCACTTATGGCCATCTGGGTCTAGGAATGTGATTAGCCAAGTTGCAGCAGGAGGTAGAGTTCCCTCATGACTAAGTTCATGTGTCACCTTAGTGGGTTCAGAGATGTCCTTGTACCTGATGAGGCACTGTTTGTGGGTGTCTCTGCGGTGTCCCCATGAGGTTAGCATTGGACGACCAAGTGAACCCAGGCAGAGAAGAGAGAATTTGCCTTCCCTCTGCAGGTTGCTTGAGCTGGGGCCTGGCCTTATGCATGATTGTGTGAGACTCCCTAATGACAGGTTTGCTGAAATATTTAAGAGTTTTGCATGTCATGCTGGGTATGGTGGCACACACCTGTCATCTCAGCTGCTTAGGATGCTGAGACAGGAGGATCATCAAGTTCAAGGCCAGCCTGGGCAACTTAGTAAGACCCTGTATCAAAAAAAAAAAAAAAAAAAGGGATGGAATGTAGCTCAGTGGTAGAGTACCCCTGGGTTCAATCCCCAGTACTGCCCAAAATCTTTTTATCTTTTTTTTCTGCCCAAAAAAAGATAAAAAGATTAAAAAGTCAGGGCTGGGATTGTGGCTCAGCAGTAGAGTACTCCCCTAGCACGGGCGGGACCAGGTTCTATCCTAGCGCCACATAAAAATAAAGGCATTGTGTTGTGTCCATCTACACCAAAAGAAAATAAATATTAAAAAAAAGGATTAAAAAGTCGTTTTCATCTTTACTCATAAGTTTAATATAGGTTTTTGCTATGCTTGTGGGTTTGGGTTTAGGGTTAAGCTAGAATTGTAATTAACTGTGGTTTTCTGTATCATGAACGGTTTGATAAAAGACCAGGATGTAGTGTTTTTTTTCGGGGGAGTTGGTATTTCAGTACTGCTTTGGTTTCTTTCACAATTCTTGACCTATTGTTGTCTAGGTTTTAAGTCTACCATTTAGTTAATGTTTTTCTCGAAAGTCGTCCATTTAATTTAGTCTTTCAAATGCATACAAATATTTGCCTAGTGCAGAATCTCTCATCAGTGGTTGTGTTGTTTCTCTGTATGGTCTTCCTGATCCCAGGTAACTTGTCCCTCTTCACAGGAGCAAGGAGTGAATCTGCTGGTTGAGTCCCCACTTTCCTTTTCATTACCTGGGGGGTCTGGGCAGCAAGGTACTCTTGGCCCTCCCACGCTGACCTACTGGGACTCAACCTGGGCCTCAGGGGACCTGGCGTCTTCTGCTTTCCTCTCATTTATTTGCTTGGTGTGAAGGAGCCCCAGCTGTCCTGCTGGTGCCGTAGCCTAGTGATGACCAGCACCACATGCCAGACACTTGCTGGGGTGGAGCCACTTGCTGACCAGAGCCACAGGGTGCCTGGCAGAGTAGGACAAGCTGTTGATCCAGAAAACATGTGTCCAAAGAAAATGGTAGCTGTTCTAAGCCGCCAAGTTTTGGGTAATTCATGATTCACCAATAAACACTCGATACATTCCCCCCCCCCCAAGTATACTAAAATCAATGGTATTTTTATATAGTAGCCAAAATAATGGAAAATGAAAATAGTATTTACAATAGAATTGAGAACATAAAATTCGTAGTAATGAATTTAATAAAGTATATGTAAGACGGGTACACTAAGAACTACATTACTGAGAGAACTTAAGAGCTGGATAAATATGCACATTATTCATGAATCAGATGACTCAATTTCTAAAAATTTAGCAATATTTTTATTGTGTTAAAATACACATAAATTTACCATCTTGCCTTTTTTTTTGTACTAGGATTTGAACCCAGGGGCACTTAACCACTGAGCCACATCCTCAGCCCTTTTTTAAAAATATTTTTTTAGCTGTTGATAGGCCTTTATTTTATTATATGAGGTGCTGAGAATTGAACCCAGTGCCTGCCTCACACATGCCAAGCAAGTGTGCTGCTGCTCAGCCCCAGCCCATTTTTATATTTTATTTAGAGACAAGGTCTACCTGCATTGCTTAGGGCCTTGCTAAGTTGCTGAGGCTGGCTTTGAACTTGTGATCCTCCTAAGCCACTGGGATTATTGACCATTTTTAGGTAGACTTTTCAGGAACAAGTACGTTCATGTTGTACAACCAACACAACCATCCATCTCCAGAACTTTTTCATCTTGCAAAACCGAAACTCTGATCCCATAAAACAACTCCCCAGTCCTCCCTGCAGCTCTTTCAACTACTGCCCTGCTGAGCCTCTACAGACTTGGCTGCTCCAAGTATCTTGTATAGAAAGGGAATTGTACATTATTTCTTTGTGTGACGGCCTTATGAGAGTTTCCCTAATCTCTTGAGGGTACCACTTCTTTTTACATTACCATCTTCTTTTGAGTTTAGCTAATTTTTTGGTTAAAAAAATACTAAATTCATTCATCATTTCTTTTTCATATATTCTAGAGCTCTTTTCCTTGTGTTACCATGGAGACTGAAATGCAACAGTGGTCCACTTTATGCTTTGAATGTAGCCCTTGCTGATCTTCCGCTGCAACTTATTTTAAAAATGGACCTGTTTCTGGGGCTGGGATGTGGCTCAGCAGTAGAGCACTCGCCTGGCACGGGCGGGACCCAGGTTCGATCCTCAGCACCACATTAAAAAAAAAAAAAAAAAAGAGGCATTGTGTTGTGTCCATCTACACCTAAAAATAAATATTTTTTTTTAAAAATGGACCTGTTTCTTTCTCTTCCTCTCTCCCTGATCCTCCTCAATCTTAGGGGGAACAGGGTCACCTTCTTTCCCATCCTAGGCAGAGTTATCTGTCCCTGAGCATGCACCCACCCTGGGAACGAAGTAAACAAGACTTTGGGGATGGCACCAGAAGATCTCAGAAATGACTGTCTCCCAAATTAACAAATCACAATTCAACAGAGAACCCTGGGATGTAGCCTTTGAACCACCTCTCTAACAGCCCTCTGTTCCTGCAGAGGGGCAGAATCACAGCCTCTGGGGCAGCAGTCCCCTGTGTTTCCCCTTTGCTATCAAAGCAAGAAGCCTTTTTTCTCAAAATCATATGTTGCTAAAAGCTTGGTCCTTGTCCCTGAAGCCAATCCAATAACAAGGACATGCTTTTGAGAAAAAGGAAAAAATTAGTTTATTGCTTTTAGGAAGGATAGATCAGGGGAAAGAAGATCAGGGAGAAGTTGAGGGAAAAAGATATCAGAGAAGATCAGGGAAAAGTTTAGGAAAATGAGGATTATAGAGGAGAAGTTGAGGGAAAAGTAGATCAGAGAGGAGAAAAAGCTTGGGGAAAAGAAAAAAAGTTCTAAAGCCACAGGGATATAGTCAAAGCATCAAGTGGACCCTGTCACATCCTCATTACTGGATTGGCATCCGGGACAAGGACCGAACTTTGGGCAACAATTACTTTAACATTCTAAGACTTTAATGTTCCAATTTGAGTTTGTGCCATCTTAACCTCAGTAACGCATGCCAAAAATGTGCCTCCTCATACCTCCATTCTCAACCCATTTAAGGTGCTAATGTGACAAAATCACGTTTTTAACACTGTCCAAGAACAAACTAGTAATTGCACATATAAATATATATATGTATATGGGGGATACCAGGGATTGAACTCAGGGACACTCAACCACTGAGCCACACCCCAGCCCTATTTTGTATTTTATTTAGAGACAGGGTGAAGGGAAAGCAAGGAACAAGAGATGGGTAAGCAAGAAATGAAAGATGAGACCAGCAGGCAGAGATGCGCAGGAGAGTGTATTGTCAGAGTTGACAAAGGCCATCTCTGTGGGAGAGTCTAGTTCTGGGACTTTTATGGGGAGGTTCAGGAGTGAGAGACGGGTGGGTCCCAATGCGGGTGGATAGGGGTTGAGTTGGTGTGAGGGAGTGCTGAGCCTTTCTCAGAAAGGCCCTTGGGTGGGAAAGCAAAGGCTGTCAAGATGGCCATCCACATGCTAAGCAAGGACCTTATATTCCCCCTTTTTTGTGTGTTTATTAGGCCCCTTAGGGAACAGGGACAGGTCAATCTCCTATAACTGCTTCCTGCTGGGAAGGGGTGTTTGAATCTCTCATTAGGGGTGCAGGATGTCACTGGAATCATGATGGAGGTCAAGTGGTGGTGGAATACTGTCCCCGGTTCCCCAATTTTTGGTGAGCGATTGGTATTCCTATAATAAAAGCTGGTTTACAGTTTTGTTACAGATTATTTGGACCTGGTCTTGAGCCAATCTAATGATGCAGGGGACAAGCATTAACAGAAGGCCTGTGACAAGGAGAGGGGTCAGGAGAGGAAGTGCCCACTGGAGAAGGGGTGACATGGTGGCCACCTTCAGCAGAGGAGAGCTGTTGTTTCTGACCTTCAAGGTCCTGTTGGAGTTGTTTATCTGTCCTTTGCTCTGCAGATTGATTGACACCAAACAGCATTCATCCTGTAGAGACAAAGTCCGCCTCTTTTGGCCATGAAAAGATCAAGGCCCCTTGGATTCTGCAGTACCACAGCTGCTGAAGAATCGAGCTGGGACTGGGTGGTTAGTATGGTTTGAGCAAGTTGCTGTGAGTCCCTAGAAATTGGACTGGTAACTCCTGGTGAGTGCAGAAGGAGGGAGGAGGGCAAAAATGAAAAGGGAAGTGTGGGCCTCAGATGCCGCAGTCTGGCTGGGCACAAAATCACGAGCCACTCAAACAGGAACAAACTTTATTTCCAAAACTCCCGCGAACACCACACGCAGCCTTCTCCCGGGACACACCACACCAACCGGAAATCCCTCCTCTGGAAATCCCTCCTCCGGAAATCCCTCCTACCGCACTTCCCCAACCAATGGGAACTCTCCGGAATCTCCGCAAGAGCTCCAAAGTAGCAGGCCCAGGTGGACAGCAGGGGTCTAATATCCAATTGAATACACATCTTAACATAACCATTATCATCTCAATGGCTTGCTGGTATCACCTTTCAACCAAAAATGCCATACATCATTCCTACTCAGCTATGGCTCTCAGCATCTACCCCCTTCTGTTTAATTAAGCACCAAGCATGTGGCTTAGGGACCGTGCCTGTCAGGCTGTCCAATGCTACATATGGCCCTTACCCGTCATTGGATGAGCTGACCTCAAGGCGTCAGCCTGCTGTCTTAGGTTGGTACCACTGCAATTGGATCTTACCCATCACTGACTACCGGTCCAGCATACAGCCATACTTGTGGATAGGCCTATGCACCAGTGGGGGGGGGGGTGTGTGAGGTTCATTGCCTCACCTCTGTTGGCCCCCAAATTTGTCCTTGGTGCCAGTGGGGGGTGGTGAGTTTCTTTGCCTCACCTCTGTTGGCCCCCAAATTTTAGACCATCACTAGTAGAAGGTAGGAGGATACAGAAATGCCATGACACTAAGCCAATTGACGGCTCCTTTGAAAAATTGTACCACTGGTGACTCTATCAGCAAAGATACGCCAGCAGTACCACAATTCGCTGCACCAACAGATAGTTCACAATGCATACAAGTGATGCATAGTCCAGGCAAGTTCTTCAAGCAGTTCAAAGCAGAGGAATCTATCAATATGTCCATTTCCTCCCAAAGTAAATCGACTCCTTGATTGAGCATTACTTGTTGAGTTATTATTCATTGATGCATCAGTTTATACAGTTTACTATGATAGCTATCGAAGAAGCTGTAGTTTGGTTTTATCATTGTCTTCACTGGCACTGGGATGAAGATAGGAATTCTGGCAATGATGGCTAAAATATATATATATGTAACATTCCAACAGGTACTAAGAAAACAATTTTCTGAACAATTTACATTATCCTGAACAGAATTATTAAATATAATGAAAAGGAAAGGTGAAAGTAAACAAACACATCTGTTAACCTCTTTATTTGTTCACATATTAAAACAATCCTCAACAGCTGTTCACCCAATTTAAATTAAACCATTTAAATCACTTGAATAATAAAAATATTTGGATCCATTTTTTCATGAGTGCTCCTCATATATGATCTATGGACATACGCACATATAGACATACAACACAAAACACAAGTGTGCACACATAACATACAACACATAAGCCAAAGTAAAGGCCTTGTAGCTTTTCACAGGTGAAATCTCCATTGCAATGTTTAAAAATTCCACAGTCAAAAAATAAAACTGATCAGAAAAACGCTAACCTAGGTCTGAATGAGCTCAAAAAATGAAATAGAACTTTATGATGTGGGAAAAGGCAATAATAAAATAGATATTGAAAAAGACATCCTGGTTACCACCTGGGTTTGACTCCTTTTTGGATAACCCATCCTTTTTCCTGTAACTTGCATAATGGGTCTGAAGGTATTTCCATAAGCAAGCCCCAAGGTTTTTTACATTTGAAATAGGCTTTAATGGTGTTCATTATTCATTAGCCTCCAGGTGTGGGAGAACCACTGTTGCAGATCAAGAATAGCCAAGTTGGAGCTCTGGATATCAGCTGTTATGGATTTGAGCCAAATCATCTTCTTTTTGGTCTGTAGAAATCGCTTTAGTTAGTCTCTCTGGAATCCAAATCGGCTGCTGTTCTCCCGGTGGAAACACACAAAACAGAACCCGACTCCAGACAATCACTGGGTCAGGACCTTTCCATTGTCCTGTTAAAATATCCGTCCAAATTACCTTAGGCTTATGTACATTTTTTGGACACATATGCCTTTCTGCAGCACTAAGCCCTGATGAATCCAAATTTAAAAAGTTTAGAGTAAAAAGGGTTATTTTAAGTTTACCTTTGGGGATATATACCCCTTCCCAATTCCCTCTTTTTGCTTTAATAAGTACATTTTAATAGTTTGATGAGCTCTTTCAACTATGCCTTGTCCCTGTGGATTGTATGGGATTCCTGTTATATGAGTAATGCCAAATGATGAGCAAAATTGTTTAAAAGAGGTAGAAGTATATCCAGGGCCATTATCTGTTTTTTACTGCTTTGGAACGCCCACAGTGGCAAAATTTTGTAAGCAATGAGCTATAATATCTTTAGTTTTTTCTCCGGCATGAAGGGAGCCCATCAAAAATCCGGAAGAAGTATCAACTGTAACATGCAAATATTTTAATTTTCCAAATTCTGGCAAGTGTGTGACGTCCACCTGCCAAATATGGTTAGGTATCAGTCCTCTAGGATTGACTCCAAGATTGACTTGTGGTAAAATGGTCACACAATTTTGACATTGTTTTATTATTTGTCTAGCTTGTTCCTTAGTTATTTTAAATTGCTTTTGTAAAGTATTCGCATTGACATGGAACCCTTTATGAAAATTTATAGCTTCTTCTAGTGTAGAGAAAATATGTATGTCATGTGTAGTTTTATCTGCTAAATCATTGCCCAAACTAAGGGCTCCAGGCAATCCTGTATGTGCCCTGATATGTCCCATAAAGAATGGATCTTTTCTGTCCCAGATTAGACTTTGTATAGTGGAAAACAAAGAGAAAACAGTAGAGGAAGGGGAAATCCTACCAGCATCTTCAAGGGATACTATAGCATTAACTATATACTGACTATCAGAAAATAAATTAAATACCGAATCTTTAAACATCACAAAAGCTTGTAATACTGCATTAAGCTCTACCTTTTGAGCTGATTGTTTGGGTACTAAAAATGTAAAAGTTTGATCAGGGGTAACTACTGCTGCTGTACCATTATTTGACCCATCAGTGAATATATTTGGAGCATTCATGATAGGTGTTTTTATTGTCATTTTTGGAAAAACAACAGGATGTGAAGACCAAAAAGACAACAAAGGATTAGATGGTAAGTGATTATCAAATGAAACGTTAGATTTACACATGATCATTGCCCAAGTATTTAACTCATTAGCTAACTCATCAATTTGATCCATAGTATATGGAGTAATAATTTTATTGGGAGAAATGCCAAACACTCCCTTTGCTGCTTTTATTCCTTTGAGTAGTAATTGTCCTACAGCCTCAGGATACCTAGTAAGAATAGTGTTAGGAGAATAAGATAAATGTGTCCACAATAATGGACCTTCTTGCCAAAATACTCCTGTAGGAATATTTTTTGTTGGTAGTACAATAAATAAGAAAGGCAAACTTATATCAATTCTATCCAAATACATATTTTCCATATATGTTTCAATAATTTTTAATGCCTTTCTTGCTTCAGGCGTTAACATGCGGGGTGAATTTGGATCTGATGGACCTTTTAGGATATCAAATAAAGGTCCCAACTCTCCTGTTGGTATGCCTAGATAAGGCCTTATCCAATTTATGTCTCCTAATAACTTTTGAAAGTCGTTAAGTGATTTGAGTTGATCTACTCGTATTTGAATTTTTGGTGGACGGACCATGGTTGAGGATAATAGAACTCCTAAATAATTAATTATAAAATTTAATTGTACTTTATCTATTGCTATCTCTAGATTATAATTTTTTAATAAATTTGCAAGTGTGGCATAACATTCTAGCAATGTGTTTTTATCTTTATGTGCTAATAATACATCATCCATATAGTGAAATATTTGTAGTTCAGGATTTTGAATTCTAAGTGGCTGGATTGCTTTGTTAACATAAATTTGACACATAGTTGGGCTGTTAGTCATCTCTTGAGGGAGTACTTTCCATTCATATCTCTGATCAGGACCTTCATGATTCAGTGCAGGGATAGTAAATGCAAAACTTGGACTATCCTCAGGATGAATTGGAATTGAAAAAAAAAACAATCTTTAATATCTATTAGCTAAAACCTACCAGGTTTTTGGCAAAGCAGACAATTGGGGAATCCCCGATTGAGCAGGTCCCATAATAACCATCTCATTATTAATGGCTCTTAAATCTTGCAATAATCTCCATTTACCAGATTTCTTTTTGATGACAAAAATGGGAGTATTATGGGGGAGATACAGAAGGTTGTATATGTCCCTCCGCTAATTGTTGTTTGACCAGGTCATGGGCTACTTGTATCTTTTCTTTAGTCAGGGGCCACTGAGGAATCCATACTGGTCTTTCTGATTTCCAAGTAATTTTGATTGCCTCAGTGACCCCTTCTGAAAACCCAGTCCATGTCTATTTATTCCTTTATCTATTTGAATTGGTGCTGCTATACCTTGTTCTTGTTCTCCTAATCTTTTTTCTTTCCTAAAACCTTGTCTAGCCCTAGTAGTGGGCACATTAGGATTGATGTTATTTGTTAATGTCAAACCTAATTGATCTAGGACATCTCATCCCCATAAATTTATAGGAAGATGATCCAATACATATGGCTGTATAGTTCCTTCACATCCTTCAGGATCCTTCCAATCTAAAACCATCACACTTCTATGGGGATTAGTTGCCACTCCTAGGCCTCAAAGCGTTTGAGTGGCTTGTTGTAATGGCCAATGTTTTGGCCATTCTTGATGAAATATGATGCTAAGGTCAGCACCTGTGTCCAGTAGCCCATTAAATTCATGTCCTTGAATATTTAGTTTTAGCATTGGGCAAGAATCAAAATTTAAAGACAGCATAGCCCAATCTACACCTGTGGAGCCTATTCCCTTGGAACCTCTTTCT